TCTGTGCTTGGCTGGAGACGTTGCAAGAAATGGCGGCTAATCGATGTCAGTGGCGTTCGTGCTGTCAGTTTCTTTCCAGATTGTCTGATTGAGCGGTTGGAGGTGTAGGCACCTCAGTATGCTTGACATAGGCCAGCACTAGGTCCCCTCCCTCACCCACTTTTTTTCTCTTCTCTTCACTGTAGGGCTTTTAATACAATTATATATATATATATACATAAAATAACTAGACGAACCTTATGGTTGTACGGCAGTGAAGCATCAGTGCCAACACTGATGTTGCTGTCTCTGATGATGATGGTTTGGCTCCATACTTTGAAGGTCCTTAATGTTGCTGTGAATAAATAGGTTGGCCTATTTTTACTGTTTTTTCGGTACTAACTCAACGGGAGGAGCCTGATTGGCAGTTATTCTAGAGAGCTGAGTGCCTTAGCTCGTACTCAAGTAGTCTTGAAGATTCAAAAAGTCAGAATGTCTGTGAGAGCTCAATTTTTCCGTTGTTGTCTTTACTGTAATGATCGAAACTAAATAACGGCGTGTTGGAGTTTTCCACGTGGAAATCCTAGATGAGTTACTCACCTTTATTTTATCTTCCAAATTTGAAGGTGGCTGAACGCGAAAGAAGCAAGTCCGTTGGGCGGGCCACTCCCAAGCCTCGTGGTCGAACACCATCGCGGTCTCGATCGAGCGTGGGAACGCGCCTAAAAGGTGCTCGAGCCCCTGCCTCGGATTCAAAAGTTGGACGTCGCCTGTCGCCAAGCTCATCGAGCTCTTCATCTAGAGGATCTTCCCGCCAAGCCGCCGCTCGAAAACGTGTTTCGGATGTCTCTGGGCCCAAACGCGGTCGACCCTCATCCGTCCGCCAGCTGAATCACACTGGGAGTTCTCCAGCGATAACCCCAAATAGTCGTACCGGTCGCCAGAATGTATCAGTTTCTCCGTGGTATGTTGCTTTACATCTACTCCTTTCTCACGTCCGCCTTACCACAGTCATGGGATCTTTGAATTGCAGTCACTGCTGCCGTTTTTCGTCGAATCTTTTTGGTTTAGTGTTATATTTTTGCTTGCCAGCAGCTCAGTGTATCCGAGTTTCCTGTCTACATAGACATATGCAAGTACCAACACGTCACTACTTTGAAATCCGGGGTGCTAGGCAAGCGACAGAACCTCAAAGTGACCAAAACAAGTCAAACCGAGTATGCCAGGTGGGGGTAAACCGAATTTGGCTCCGGGCATAAGCTCCATCAGGTTCAACTCCGTAGCTGTTCCTACTGCGACTCGAAATTCACCCATCTGATAGGACTGAGCTTCACGACCTGCCGAGTCTTGATTGTCTTGTCCAGTAATCAGTTGGGCCACTTGAGATTACGCGCGAAACTCCCAAAAGTCGAGTCGTTCAAATGGAAATTTATCAATAAAAGTGGTACTATGAATACGATAACTAAACGACAAAGTGATACAAATCTCAAATCATGGGATTATGTCGGCTTCTATACACCGGGTCAAGTAACGCTGATTTCAAATGGGATCTTGTACAAATACAATAGGTAGACAACAATGCGCTTCCCCAAGCAGTTCACAACACCGGGGTCAGAATATGATGAAGCACACGTGTTTAACTGGACGCGTGATGTTTTGGTTAAGGGGCGGTTAAAGTGCAGGTCGAAACTGCTCAGTGATCAAAGTGTGAAGTCTGACCGGAACGTCCGTGATTCGAACCCGACCTCAGCATTTCGACTGCTCCTGTCTGGGCTTGGGCAGGCTGACAGTGTCTCAAGCCTCCAGTTGGCAGCTAGGCATCGGAAGAATGCCTAGCCGAACGATTGCTTATTTACATTTTCAGGTGTTCCAACACTTGTTTTTGTCAATAATGACGACATAGTTGGTCTTAGTACTGTCGCCGTATGTTCGCCCTTCACCTTGATTAAATGGAGTGAGGATCGCTTCGCGGGTCGCTCATCGAGAACCGCGTTCGATATAGTCTCGGTTGCTGAAGGTTACTCACACCGTTTCTTCCCACCGGTAGATTCGGAGGCAGATGCCATCAGAGAACCCTCTTGTTCATAATTAGCCCTCCTTCGCCTAATTTACACGGTAAGACAGGCTTTGTGGCTTTGATCTGAAAAGTCTTCTGCAAACTGTACATTACCCTTGCGTCCGGAATTTTGGAATAGTGGCGGCAATTCACCCAGTTCTTTTGAAGCTCCTGGTTGTACATTAGATTTCCTCGATATTCGCCTATGTTACTTACGTCCGCAGATATTTTGCGCATTGTATCACGATATCCGGTAAACTTTCATTTACATAATGAAAGGCTTCCCCGTTCACTCGAATTTTCAGTCCGGTAAGAAAACTACCCGGTCGCTGTGCCGAATTCTGCGGCAAATTGTTTCGTGAGGCAATATGCCCTTCACCGCTTCTGGCTGCTCTACTTTCGGTTTCCTTCTTACCATTTGTCTTGTGGCTCAACCTGTGGGTGTTCACGCCGGCTTCTTCACAAGGATCCACCAAGGCCCTCTGGGGTCCCGCGTATCAGTTCGCGGGTGTACTCTGGCCAACCGATTGGCACGTCTATTTTGACTACCGCTGTCACAGCTTCGTACTGTCCTATTTGTTTCTACACTTCTTGGTGGCTCGTTTCATTCCTTCTGGGTATCGATCAAACAGTAACACTGATGCACGTCGGTCGGGTTATAAAGCAAATGGTGAGTTGTGCAATGGTGTCGACGATAACTCCTTGCTCTGATTAGCCCTAATAACCTTACTTTCCCTGTAAACTAACAGTTTGCTATCTCATTTCACTTCAATCGGAGTGCACATGTTGGTCTATTCCACTAGAGGTTAAGGGAAAGATGGAATGACGCCCATGCACTTGGATCAACGGCCTACCAAGTTTAGTGGTGCTGAATCACTCCACTTTGCTCATAGAAGATAAATCCGGATAAATACGTATCTATGGTGGGGTCTTCAGTGTTTGCACGCCACTGACTACTGAGTCTACTTATTAAGGCCCCTAAATTTAGCGGTTGATCCTTTATATATATATTGGGATTGACTATACTCCGTTTTCGATTCATTTGCTGGAGAAATCACCTTGCCAAATGGTCGTATCTTTGAACTCACTTGATTTCGTTAACAGCTTTTAGACGTCTGTCTGTTCCATCCATTCAATGCGTGTAGATGTTTCTAGAGTTTATCTCGTTAAAATTCCTATGATGGCCCAACAGGAATCGTAGTCCCTGGATAGAAATCTAGACTTCGTTCAATGTCGAGTTTGAACGTCCTACGAGGTGTGGGACTCTCTAATTTTCGTGCCTCAGCTTGTAACCATCTCGTTACAACTTTACTGGACATAGAGTCATTTCCACATTCCGAAAAGTGCCACGAAGTTGTGACACGAAAAAGGCATAGATTCACGTTCACTTGAAAACTAAGAAGATTGCAGTAATTTCCTTGTATGCATAAAACGTGTCTCGTATGTTTATACACGCCTTTCCATTTGTCACATGCTCAGGTCTGTTCGCTCTCCTTCTGTTCGTCGCAATCTACGCGGTGGCTCAATTCGGCCGGTTTACTCAGTTAGACGCGGTGAGACCCAGCATGCTGTTTCCCAAGCATTGGTTGGGTTTGTTGGCTGCCGCGGGACAAATTGCCACGGTTGCTGCTGTCGTTGCCTATTTTACTTCACGCCGACTGCCGCGCTCTCAGTGTGCACCGGAAGGGAATACAGGTGAGTGGTTTTCATGTTACCAAACAAATGACCACAATGAATGCTGCATGGTGTGTCAGCAGAGAATGTCGCCCAGCAGTAAAAGTCCACGGGGGAAATCGTACCATCCGGTTGCAGTGCAACTTCGAAACGCAACGAGATATCCGCAAAAATCGACCTGATTCTTGGCTGACACGGCCATTAGATTTCAGGTAAAATCAGCTTCTTGCAGGTTTCCCTGTATTTCCGAATTGATGAACTTGATCAGTATCACCGCATGTAAAGGGGGTTTCAAGCAGCCAAGTGACCGTCTTTCTTTCGACCAGTTCTGATAGGTACTCCGCGGTTGGTTTTTGAAAGTCGCGTATCACTCGTTTGGTTTGGAAGGTCAGCTGTAACGTCTTTCCGGTGCCTGACTGCCATGCCACCCAAAGGAAGCACGAAGGTTGGGAAACTACCGCCCAAGCCTGTGCCTAACTGCCATGCCACCCAAAGGAAGCACGAAGGTTGGGAAACTACCAGGTTGCCCAAGCCTAGACCGGGGAAAACGGGATGCAGAGGTCGGGTTCGAACCACTGGCCTTCTGGTCAGTAACCACTAGCAACTTGAGCCATCTCGCCCCCATTCGTTTGGTGACAGCTAGTTTCAAGCGTTTATCCTTGTACCACTGAATTTTGAATTTCGCTTCAAATGAGGGCCGATTTCTTCGTGAATCTTCACGTTCAACTGATTCATGTTGTCCCCAGATTGTAAATTGAGCTCTGGATCCCTCTCAATGCTGCCTCATTTCTCATTGGGACTCGGAACAGTTTCAATCTTGGTGGCTTCACTGGAATTCACTTATAATATTTGTTGTAAAAACTCAGGTTTTTATAATCAATTGAGACCGCACATTATCAATGTTGAACACTGATGTTTCCCCGATATACAACCATGATTTATGGGATTTTTCTGTGAAAAAAAAGAGTAAAAAGGACAAGTGGCCTAGTACTGATCTGTTGTAATCATTTCGGTGTGAATGCACCTGCAGACACTCATTCTGACAGATCGGATGGGAATGGACAAGGACGCGTTCGACCTGAAGTGGCGGCTATATACTGCAGTGTCTGTAAACAGGTATACAGAAAGCACCACGCCAACCTCATCTCAGGGGGCGCGTTGAACCGACAGTACCTAAACATTTTGCGATCGCGTTTGCAACCTCCTGTCGAGTCAACCATTGGCTACCTAGCTCTCTGGGGCGAGACGGCTCAGTGGTAACAGCGCGAATTTACTGACCGGAAGGTCCGTGGTCCGAACCCGACCTCTGCCTCTCGACTTGCCCTGTCTATGCTTGGGCAACCTGACAGTATCCCAGCCCTCGTGCTTCCTTTGAGTGGCATAGACGCCGAAAAGGTGCTACAGCTGAGTGAGTTTTTTCCATCTCTCCTTCTGAGTCACTCTGAACTGGGCGCGAAAAGTAGCGCTGTTTTCGACAGACAGTAATGCACAATAAATCACCGCAGCACCTATACGCTCCGGTTGAAGTGCCTGCTGTAACCATTTGACAAGAGGTCCCGTGAGATGTGTGATTATGTGTCTTGAGTTTTAGCGGACCCTTTCCTTGGGCTCCCATTTCACGGAGCTGTGAGCAGTAACCAGTTGGAACAAACAGGTGAACATACCCTTACACACTAATCGCGTATCGTCCAGCGGTTAGGTTTGGATTTCACCCCAGATTAACATTTCGATGACTTGGGTTCAGACTGCAAACGAGCGCTTTCAGATCGACTGTTGGATTATGTCATGGTAATCTTCACAAGTGTTTCCGACTTAGGCCAAGAAGTAACCGTTGTATGTCCAGGCCAACTCAGCCAACTTGATACAACATAAAACGAGACGTTGGGCTCTCGAAGAAGGACTAACTGTCCGCTTTCGGGTCTTTCTTAGAAATGGTCTACTCGGCCATGGAAAGGCGAAAAATGTAAGTTTTGATGTCATTGTCAAGTCCTTCCATTGGTTCACCCTAGCATAACACTCCCAACAAGTTGCTTCCGTCACTACTTCAATACGTCTCGTCATAAGCTTTCCGAACGTGAGCCCTTTGCTCCAGGTAATTGAAACAATGTTGCCTTTCATTCGGAATATCTTATCCTTTTCGTTCGACACGCCTGTTGATTGGAGGGGGTGACTGTCCTCATGTCCCTTTTGGAGAGCTCGTTTCAGTTTTCCAGCTAAAAAGCCTGTATCGAATCGCAGTGGTTCCAGTTGCTACAGCTTTGTTCACCGAGAATGAGAGGGTAAGAGCCACGCATTGGTGGCGATGGCCCAATCAATTTATTCACGTTGAACGGTTCTGATTCCTCGGTATGGCAGGGTTTGGGAGCTACGCAGTGAAGACGATAGCTTTGACGCAGAACCGCCATTGACTGCGTGACAGCCATATTTGTAGGGCCAATAATCATTAGTTCATCTCATACCGGGTTCCTATCCGTGTCGATGCAGCTAAGTTGATTGTCACTCATGGACTGACTGTTCCTGGATCGTCTTCATCCAACACAAGATTAAGTGAGGAGTGCTTTGCGAAGCAAACGAGGCTCCCCTTTGGATAGAAAGGGAAAAAGTCAGAATGCTGTGACTTGTCCGCTGTAGACCAAGGAAAGGAAGTCATCTGGATGGGGGCAGAGCGAAACTAAAAGTCACACGAACGTTCCACACTATGTTGCCTTCAGTGCATAGTTATCCCCTCTCTGCTTCCTCTTAGTGTCGAGGAATAAAAATATGCTGTCAAACGACTTTGAAACTGAACAACTGAATGAATTTGACCGCTTACCAGCGTCCAGTTCCTTTTGCTTTCTGAAGGTTTCTTGATAGCTGTGCCTCAAACAACCTCGGATGCTCGACTTTGTTTTTATGTAAAGCACCTGAGATGTTCTATACTGTCCTGCTTCACACACTTCCTCATTTGATTAGGTAAATTCCCGATTGATTTCTGGGTTGGGCGTCCTCTACGCCCCCGTTGGTTCGGATTGGACTGGAAGATAGTCATCTACCGACCCGGAGTGATTGGCTTGCTGCTTGCGGAAGCCACCTGTCTATGTGTGCAATGGGAGCAGTACGGACGTGTGAGCCCAGCATTTGTTCTTCTATTTGTCCTACATCTCGTCTGGGTTGCTGACTTTATGGCCTTCGAGGTAAGCATTCTGTTTATCGTTACCGCTTCGCAATCTTCATTAATAGCTGCTCCAACAGCAACAGCCTTCTTTTAATCGCCTTATTTGCACGTGTATTTGTTCGGGAGTAAGATGGACCAAGTGGTTAGAGCGCGAATTTACTGACGGGAAAGTCCGTGGTTCGAACCCGACCTCTATGTCTCTCGACTCCCCCTGTCTGGGCTTGGGCGACATGGCAGTATCCCAGCCCTCGTGCCTCCTTCGTGTGGCACGGCAGCTAGGCACCGAAAGGGTGCTACAGCTGGACGATATGTATTTGTTCGCAGATATCCGTGCGGACTGAGTACTTGGCCTCAATGTTTACCCTCTCATTCGTTTTGGCCGATACTTCATTTCGCCGTCACTGTCCGTATTATTAGTGATGGTCCACCATCTCGTGGCCTCACAAGAAATTGGCGACGGGAAGTTTTGGGGGATGTTAGTCCAGGCCTTCAGTCTGACTAAAAAAACTGTCCTAGAGACGATTCATTGCGAAATGGCCGTATTTAGCCGAGATATGTTGCTAATAACCTTGACTGTGTCGTACTTCGGTAGCCCATCTCTTATAGCAGTTTGATCGGTTCGTTAGTTACTAATGGCTTGATTACTGGATCAGCTGCTGACCGGTTGATCGAGGTTGGAAGGAACAACCTAATCAAAGAAACTAGACCAGTTCATTGGCAAATTTCGCACTGCTCAGGTTCGCGTCTATGTAGGCTGACCGTATCCCAGTTTGAACTGCCTTATACAGACAGCTCCAATCTTTTCATCCTACAATTACATCATTTTTGTTATTTTCACCCATTCTTTCGATAGCATGTATTCACAACATCCTTCGAGGTTCGTCACGAAGGATTCGGATACTACACTATTTTGGGGGCGCTGATGATTCCTTTCGTGTATATCTTGGGTGCGGCGTACATGTTGCCGAAACCAGACCTTGGGAAGCTGTTTACACCTACTGGTGTACCTATCTACCAGCACTGGGCTTTGAACATCCTCGCCGTGGTTCTGTTTCTGGTGGGCTACTGGATTTATCGATTTTCCGACAACCAAAAGGACCTTTTCCGTCGCCAACCAAATCATCCTTCATTTGCCGGTACGTGACCATTGTGAACGTTTTCAATAATGAATGTTCGGAAATAGCTTTCGTATCGATGAGTCATGTTTTCTACGTGTCTTCCAAATTAGGACGAATTGGTTCTATTTCATTGAATTGTCTTGGCCGATAGGATTGTACGGTATTTTGCGTAGAATATTGAGACGTTTCTCCCAAATTCAAGCAGTGCTACTGTTCTATCTGGTAACGAGTGCTTGAGCAGACCTGGTAACGCCGTACCACAGACAAAACTCCCAGCGGTCTCGTTCTACCACGAATTCACATCCGATGGTGAAGCTGAAGGAGGTTATGATCAATTCGTCTAAATTCGTGATCTGCCCGTGCCGAGGGGAAGCAAGAGCAGTGTGCTGTCTTGCTTGCCCAGTGTGTGCGGTCAGATAGACTGGGCGTTGAGGCTTGAAAATGGGTTTCAAGATGTCTGAGGCTGTCAGTGTCGGGTGACGCCCAGATGTTGTGACCTAAACAGATGCGACACGAACTGGTTGCCTCTTCTAACAAGTGGGCTTGCAGGGACACAGTTAATAATGCAGTGGGGGGAGGGGAAGAAAAGGTGTCTACCCGCCCTGCTATCGGCAACAGTACGACGACGCAGCTGATGACACCGCGCGATCCCGACCTAAAGCTACCACTTTGACGTGGTGGTCGGGCTTGAGTGCTGTAATGATCCCGCGGGCTACATTGGTTTTAACGTCGTTCTATAAGGTCCAACCATCTTAGAAGTGCCAAAGGGGAGCAATCACATCAAGAGCAACGAGACCCCGTACTACGAGTAATCGTACTACGAGGCGGTCTGGGAGTAAAGTCGTACTGTCCTCTTCGACAGGAGCCTGAAGGCACTAAGATGTTTCCTTCAGGCGACCAGCGTGTCCATCTTCATGGAAGCAACGGTGCTGTTTTCCTTTGAAGAAGGACGGGTTTGAAAAAGTCGGCCCTGAAAGCCTCATACTGTGATTGCCCAACAGTTGACCGTGACCGCCAGCGCTTTATTCAGTATGGTTGAAATACTCCCAAAACCAGAGGGGTTCTGCCCACAAAGCACCTGCTGCGTGCAGCTGTCTCAGGAGTGAGACAGCCTTTCACCCTGTGCTCCCGGATTAGGCCAACTCTCTGCAGAGTGTTGAGTCATCGGCACCAAACAGTCCCCGCTATCTCGTGGGTCAGACTTCTGAGTCAGAGGCTCAAGGTGAGGTACCTCAATCACATCACCTTCGTCGGCCTGGAAAACCGGGAAATTTCATTTGTCCGCACAGATCTTTGTCCACCAATGTCCCTCTCCAACCACTCCCCCTCCACAAGCAAACGCTACTGGATCATTTGACCGTCAGTTATCTGACCGATTGGCCTTATGAATGCCGTCTATTGGCAGTAGACAAAACACCTTCCTAAATATTTGAAGAGATCCTTTTAACGTCCGTACTCTATGTCAAGTTGCCAAACAGGCTATGCGCGCTAAAACCCTATAGTCCTTTAAAACTGATGTGTGCCGTATCTCCGAGGCACACATGTAACCGGGGTTATGCATCCCAGGACAAACTTTGTTCTTTCACAATTCTCCCTCCGTCTGCCCGGTGAACCAGAAGCGATGATTGTGGAATATATGGCATGTGAGTTGCACTCAACCTCAGATCTGAACGCGCTTTGCCGGATTGAATCCCAGTGAATAGCAATCTTTGTCCCACCCTGTTGCCCCGCTCGATCAATTTCAATGACCCTCGACATAAAAAGCGCTGCCCCTTTTGTATTGTTGGCTTGTGCTCTAATGGGCTGTAGGTCTGACGCTGAAAAGGATGCTTTCTACTGAGTTATTCAGGCTTTTTCGTCAAGCAGGAAGCACTGAGATTATAGACCTTGCGAGCGATATGAACGCCCAAGTCGGTCATCTGAGCTCCTTGGAATCGCATTTGGACGGTCGATTCGGAGTCAATACTTGTCACACAGACAACGGAGATCGACTCCTCCAGTTGTGTGCTGATCTCGAACTGTTTCTGGCCAGTACAAACCTTCAGCATAGGTGTTCGCATCGCGTAACCTGGCAGCTACCAACTGCGAATCAACCATGGACCAAGTTTGATCACATGGCCATCAGCCACCGGCAGAGAGCTACAGTTCAAGACTGCCAGTCCTTCCGGGGCACACGGTGCCAGCACGCCTGATGGTTCGTTTCCCCTCAGTCCCTCGCAAAGCAGCGGGAAACATGCCAATCCACCAACTTTGAAGATCTACCATAGCTCAACGGTGTCAATCTGAGCTAGTCCAAAAGCTCTCCACAGTAAACCAGGAGAAAGCATGGAAAAAATGTGAAAGGGGCTTTGTTAGCGATGTTCAACGCCGACCGCC